CAGGCCTTGAGACAAACTGCAGAAGATGGAGGAGGGATAAGAGTGCCAACAGTACGAACCAAGTACACATGGCACCACTAGTGTAATCTTTGCTGGGCAGACAGCTATGATTACTAAAACATGCAACGATGCACTCAGGAGTGGTAGAAGTGGTAAAAATGGGCATGGGTTTATAGAAAAGGGATACTGGCAAAAAGTTGCCAACAGTGTTAGAACGGACACTCACCTCCCACAGAGATTGGATTTCCCCCTCAACCCTCGTGGCAACTTCCCGGAAGTTCTCCATCCGTGCACTCAACACTTCCACCCACTCCCCGCCATCCATTGCACCGGCCGCACCGCCACTTGCCTCCATTTTCCTCTCATCCAGGCGTTGCTGCAACTCACCCAACCTCCAAGCCACCTCAACCTTTCCCGCCTCCACCTCCTCCCTCAACTCCCTTATCCTCCCTGCCTCCTCCGCCCTTCCCTCTTCCACCTCACGCCTCAACTGATCCAACTTGCCCAATATCCTCTTCTCCCGCTCCTCCACCAACATAGCCATTTCTGCCTTCATCTCAGCCTTCGGCTCGTCCATGCACTTCCTTACATCACTACTTCCGTACTTCCGACCCTCGACCTCCTTCCTCAGGCTATTGATGGTTTTTTTCCTTTCCTCCTCTACTTTTGCCCTTCCTGCCACCTCAACCTTAACCTTCTCCATGTCATCCCTCATCCTCTCCACTTCATTCCCGAGACCAGCCACGTCAGCCTCATTCCCTTCCCCATTCCCCCTCACTACCCCGTCTTTCTCGTCTGACTCACTCACTCTACCGAACATAGCTAAATTCTCCACAGCAATATCACCAGTACTTTCCATCCCGCCACTGTCATAATCAACCCCATGCTCCTTTGTGTATTCCATCAATGCCCTTTCCATGCCCTTCTCAATGCCCTTCTCAAAATCCTGTCTCTCACCCACTTCCTTACATCACTACTTTCGTAATTCAGACCCTCGACCTCCTTCCTCAGGCTATTGATGGCTTTTTTCCTTTCCTCCTCTACTTTTGCTCTTCCTGCCACCTCAACCTTAACCTTCTCCACGTCATCCCTCATCCTCTCCACCTCATTCCCGAGACCAGCCACGTCAGCCTCATTCCCTTCCCCATTCCCCCTCACTACCCCGTCTTTCTCGTCTGACACACTCACTCTACCGAACATAGCCAAATTCTCCACAGCAATATCACCAGTACTTTCCATCCCGCCACTGTCATAATCGACCCCATGCTCCGTTGTGTATTCCATCAATGCCCTTTCCATGCCCTTCTCAATGCCCTTCTCAAAATTCTGTCTCTCACCCACTGTACGCCGGTCCCGGTGCAAGGCCTTCATCTTGGAACGTGATCTGCTGGACCCGAGAAGAGTGGATGGAATGATCCGGTCCGAAACAAACACCAGTAGCAGCAGGGGCAGGGAGCAGGACAGGGCAGAGAAGGCTGTGGAACGAGGGGGGGAAAGGGAAGGTGGAGGTGAAAGGGAGACGGGGGGAGATTTGGGAGAAGGGGGAGCGAAACGCAGAGGAGGGAAGCGAGGAGGCGGCGGGGAGAGGAGATCAAAGGAGGAAAGGAGATGTTTCTGCGGTGCTGCGTGTTTACGCGGTTACTCAGTCCTGAGGAGCACGAGGGGCTGGTGCAGATGCTTATCCAGGCGCAGTGACTGAGGGACAGAGTGGCCGAGCTGCAGGTGAGGCTTGTGGTTTGCTTGTGTGGATGTGTGGTGGTGGTGTCAGCACAGAAGCAATAATTTCGAAGGAAGACATGTTTGTGCGCTGCTGGAGATGCTTCTGTGGGAGATGTTTCTGTGGGAGGTGTTTCTACAGTTCCTCTGTGCAGAGGAGCACGAGGGTCTAGCAGATGCAGAACCTAACTCAAGTAAGAGAGACTGAGACAAAGTGGCCGTGCCGCAGGTGAGGGTTGTAGGTAAGTAGTGCTGATTTGAGACATCAACTGCTGAGTATGAACTCCCCGCCCCACTGCTGCTGCTACTGCTGCCGCCATCACGTGCCTTTCCACCACCTCTTGTTACACGTTCATGTTCTATTACCAAGCTCGTGTTTGCCCTCCCTTTCCAATTTGACAGTTGCACTCACAGCAACCAGCACAGCACCATCAGCAAGAAGTCCCTCCTCCCCATCATCTCATGCTCCATCTTCCCTGCTCATTCGTCCCACGCGTTCTTCACCCCTCTGCCACTTTTCCCGCACTCTCTTTATTCCTTTGCCACTTGTGCCACCAGCCATCGGCACAGCATCATCAGGAGGTCCCTCAGCTGCTCTTGACATCTCCTCCCACCCCAGGTGTGCTTCTATCAACCAAGCCAAGGTAAGAAATTTATTCCCAATAGATCAATATGTGCCGCTATCAACCAATGTGGTATCATGACGATTATCTTCTTCTAAGTTCCAACCATACACATGTCCCCGATACTCGTTTGCATGCTGCCTTCATGCCTCTCGGTATTGTTGTGACTTCTTTGCTCTGCCTTCAAACTGTCTTTGCCTCCGTCTCTCTCCTGTTGACTCCTGTTCCCTTCTGTCCAGCCCATAAGTCTCAACCAGACACATTTCCTTCCTCGTTACCTCCCTCCCTTCCCCCCTCTGATCCATGCATCCAATTGCACGTCCTTCTACTTGTGCATGTCTTCCGGATCATGAAAAAAAACGCCATCCACACGCATGAAAACCGCCAAGCTCTGCCAGTTTTTCAGGAGCGTGAGCTGTGCACGCACATGCGCCTGCTGCCAGCACACTACCTCTGGGTCGAGCAGATGAGATTCGAGTGCTGGGTCACCATTTCACGAGCAGCAGTGCACCGGTTCTTCCGCCTTCCCTCCGCCACCACTGATGCAATTTCCAGAATCATGGTGGGTGCTGGCTGGATAGCTGAAGCCTTGGGAGGTAGTGCTAGTGGGGGGATGGGAGGGGGGATGGTGAAGCAGGAAGGAATGTGAGTCCATGCTCTCTCCAGCCATTACTGACGGCAGGCTCTTGCTGGGGGTTGGCTGGATAGCTGAAGCTATTGGTGGGGATATTTTTGCATGGTGGAAGGGAGCGGGGATGGTGAAGCAAGAGAGAATGTGAAATCAGGTTATCTTCAGCCTCCACTGACCCCATCGCCACTTGCTTGGGGCCGGTTGGCTGGATAGCTGGATCCAGGGGGGAGGGGGGGGGGGGATAATGCTGCTAGGGGGATGGATCACGGATGGGCGATGGGACTGGGGATCAATGGTGAAGCAAAAAGGGATGTGAGACAATGGTGCTTAATCGGACGGCTGAGGCTTGGGGATAGTGCCAATCGGGGGGTTGGAGGGAATGATAGTGAGTGGGCGACGAGAGAGTTGAACATATTTTGATTTCACGACCGGAGCAAACGGTAATGCGCAAGATCAAACTAAGCATGCTATGTTGGTAGCAAGGTGTGGACCGATTTGGCCTTGTGCGTGGTTCGACAAAATTTGGCACATGATGTTGTGGGAGAAGAAAGGTCTAGCCCGTGAATAGTGTGGGACGTAAGGAAATTGCGAATCTCCTTTCCTTCAAAGCAAATCTAATAATCTGTACTTCTAGACTTGCTTTGAGATTCATTCGTGAAACACTAGCGCACAACGAATCACCAGAATCTGACGAAATCCCAGTTCACCCCTATTTCACGCCCTCCTCACGCCTAACGAGGAATGACGATGACAGGTTTCTCACACGCATCGCAAGTACGTGCAGGCTACAAAAATCGTCGCAGAGTTTGCACGGATCATCGCGACGCCGATGGAGGACATGCGCGGAGGGTGCAGCGCTCAAGCGGGAGTGGGAAGTGGGCCCGCGTCCCAACGTGCCCCAGCTGGCGGCGATGGCGACGTTCGATATCAAGGGCAAGTCGACTGACATCGAGAGGACACACAGAACCGATGAGATCTGCTACCAACCTCCCAGAGGATTAGCGGCAGAAGTTAGTTTCCAAGTTCCGTGGTAGTTTTTTCGCTGTACGTTCTTCTCACAAAGCGCGTTGGCTCTTCCTCTGGTCAACAAGAGGAGCTGATTTCACAATGATGACGGCAACTGCACGGCTTTTGGAGGAGCTTTTGAGCATAGGAACGAAATTAGCGGTTCGATTCGAAGATGCTAGGAGGGAGTTGGAAGCGGAACAGCAACAGAGGAGAGAAATCACTGAGAGCCCGATGCAGAACCGAGGGAGTACATTAACGACATAAACGACCTTAAGAATGAGCTAGCAGCTGAGAGGGCTGTGAGGGAGGAAAAGGAAAAGGAGGTGGCTGTACTGTCCGTGCGACTCTCAGACAGAGGGATTGCTTTCGCAGGAGAAGGAAAAGAAATGCAAAATGTTGGAGGTGAGCGCGTCTAACCGTAACTTGAGTATTACGATGTCTATTTTTCCAACTCAACCCTTCTTACAATGTGCTTTCTTCAAGCGATTCCTCGGTCTTCTTGTAAGTCAACAACTGGTAATGATGCTCAGGATGAAGTACGGGCTCTAAGAAAGGAGATGGAGAACATCGTGAAGGCAATGACAGCACAGTCGGCGCAGGCAGAGAAAATGTGGGTGCAGCGTAAGGAGGAATCGAGGAAGGTGCTCGAGGTGAGATGTTAGCCTGTCGGAGGCGGGTGTTTGAAACATGCATTCTCATCCACTTGCCATGGCTTATTCCAAGACATTCTGGTGAGATGTTAGCCTGTCGGAGGCAGGCGTTTGAAACATGCATTCTCATCCACTTGCCATGGCTTATTCCAAGACATTCTGGTGATTTCAGGCTATTTATCTCACCTCGGACCAGCCACCGAACAAAACAGATGCGAGGATCATTCGAGCTGACAAAAAGACAACGTTTATGAAATTGGAAAGGTCAGATGAGTCACTAACTGACTGTGGACTTCTTCACCTCCCCTTCTTGACATCCCTAAAGCGCCTGGAAATTTCCCATTGTGTCCACAATGCCGCCTTGAGACATCTCTACACCATGACATGGCTGGAGGAGCTGAAACTTGAGTCAGACACTTTTGCACCTCCTCTCCCACCACCTTCTCTCCCTCCCCTTCCCCTAACTCCTGTTTGCACCCTACTTTCTTCCCATGGTGCTCCTCTTCCCCTCCTCCTCACCCTCTTTTCCCTTTCTAATCTGACTGTTGGACATTCCTTTTCCTCACCATCATCCTTACCGCCATCAATCTTTTCGTCCTCTAAGCTCTCCTCACCCTTCACGACCTTTTTCTCCTCCACTTTCCCCACCTCCACTTCTCCGGTCATAATCTCCATTCTCTGCAACCTCTCCCTCTTCATATCAATAGTCACTTCTCTCTCCTTTCTCTGCTTCCAGTCCGTCTGCCTAAACTCCACCCGCCTACGCTCCCTTGCCTTCTCCACCTTCTCTGCCCTCTTTCCCTGCGCTCGCTCAAAGACGTGTTCAAATTCCTCTGCCAGCTGCCACTTTTCCAACCTTCTCTGACATTCCTCTGCCATTAGCTCAGAGTCATCGTCCTCCTGAGACAAAAGCCACGGAACGAATGCACGAGGCACATGTAAGCACAAGTCTGCAAAAAACTGAGCGAATCAGCACATGCTAACGAGAATCGGTGTGAGAGAACTAGGGAAACGAGTGAACCTGTACTATTTGCATGGGGCTCGAACACTTAAATCGACACTCCTTTTAAACAGGTACAATGCTCTCTCTCTCCGCAACCCCTCTGCATATCACTCTCGTTCACAAACACACACCCCATGTCTCACCTCCTCTAGCAGCTCTGGAAAGTAGTATTGAATGCAATCCCGCAGCTGCTTTGATCTTAGCTGTGGCCATTGCTCCTTCTCCCTCCTCGCCTTCTCAGCCTGCTCCTCCTCCCTCCTCGCCTTCTCAGCCTGCTCCTTCTCCCTCCTCGCCTTCTCCACCTGCTCCTTCTCATGCCTCAACTCTAGTATCATTGAATGCTTCAACTCTTCCATTTTCCCCATCACCTCTCGCATTTCCCATGCGCTTTCCTCCTTTGCCGTCAGCATCTCTCTCCTTGTTCTTCCCAGCTCCTCTTTCAGAGAGGCGGTGAGAACTTCATGTTTGAACTCCTCCCTCCACCGTTGCTCCATCCTTTGCTGCATCTCTTCCATCCTCCCCACCAACTTCCCCACATCATCATCCAATCCCCTTCCCCACTGCTGCCCCACCTCTTCAGCCTTCCCCAAAACCCTCCTCATCTCATCAGCCCCTTCCTCCCGTGCCAGTCTCACGTCCCTCCTCGTTGCTTCTAGCACAACTCTCAATCCGCTCATCTGATCGTCCAGATTCTGGCTCCATTGCTGACTCATCTCGTCCACCTTCTCCACCAGCTTCAATACCTCCCCTGCCCTCTCCTCCCTCACCACCTGCACCTCCCTCCGTATTGCATCCATTCCTTGTTCTCCTTCCTCCTTGTCTTGCACCACCTGCTGCCTCCACCCACGCACTTCCCTCCTCCTGGTGCTGTCGCAAACCATACAGTTCCTGGTGCTGTCGCAAACCATACAGTTCCTGGTGCTGTCGCAAACCATACAGTTCCTGGTGCTGTCGCAAACCATACAGTTCCTGGTGCTGTCGCAAACCATACAGTTCCTGCGGCACTCTTTGAAAGCTGCAGACTACAGCTCTGGCAGCCCACCAGCGCCTGGGCACAGAAACACAACACATTCCAACCAATCATGCAGATCGTGGAAGAAAGAAAACGTCTGGATGGATGAATTGAAAGTGCGTAACGTCTGAGAGGAACAGGAGCATGATTGAAGCAAGCAGGTGGATGTGCGGTCGAGACTGTGTGGTCGAGACTGTGTGGTCGAGACTGTGCGGTCGAGACTGTGTGGTCGCGACTGTGTGGTTGAGACTGTGGTCGAGACTGTGTGGTTGGCATACCTGGCTACTGCAGACATGACATGCATCCTGCTGGCGAGAAAAGCCCCCTTGGCGCGACTAGCGGCCTCCGCGGAGGCATCACATAGAGCAACAATACGATCTGCTTCAGATGCAAGCCAATAGGAAAAGAAAACCTGCACAGTCAAGGGTAAAGATGATGACTGGAAAAGATGAAACTAGAAAAGGCGATGACTGGAAAATGATGATGACCGGAAAATGATGAAACTTAGACCCATTGAAAGAAAAAGGACGAAGAGAGGAGAAAATCAAAGGCCAATAAGTATCAGAAAATTGCAAGGTCAAATACGGGGGCTAGAATCAGAAAGCGTATCAGAAAGCGTACTGGTCGTAAGACAAATGGGATCAAGTTACAATGCAATTTTGCTGTCTCAGCTAACAAAGGCCTTGCATGCAAAACTCGTCAAGCAGACCCAAAACCGCACCATATAGAAAATGCCTATAGAATGGAGCCTCTGCATCCCACGCTTCGCATCGGACGGGTGGCGGTGCAGGCATGAGAGAAGGTGGGAGAGGGACACGCCCGTGCAGCAGAGGACGAGCGCTAGTGTGGTGCAGACGAGGTATGCGTGGATGATCTAACGGGGGATGGGTGGGAACGGGATGGAAGAAGTGCAAGATGAACTCCTACATGCAAGGTAAGATGATACTCATCCCACCTCTCTCCCGTATCAACTCATCCCACCTCTCTCCCAGTCATCAGATCATCCCACCTCTCTCCCAGTCATCAACTCATCCCACCTCTCTCCCAGTCATCAACTCATCCCACCTCTCTCCCAGTCATCAACTCATCCCACCTCTCTCCCAGTCATCAACTCATCCCACCTCTCTCCCAGTCATCAGCTCATCCCACCTCTCTCCCAGTCATCAGCTCATCCCACCTCTCTCCCAGTCATCAACTCATCCCACCTCTCTCCCAGTCATCAACTCATCCCACCTCTCTCCCAGTCATCAGCTCATCCCACCTCTCTCCCAGTCATCAGCTCATCCCACCTCTCTCCCAGTCATCAGCTCATCCCACCTCTCTCCCAGTCATCAGCTCATCCCACCTCTCTCCCAGTCATCAGCTCATCCCACCTCTCTCCCAGTCATCAGCTCATCCCACCTCTCTCCCAGTCATCAGCTCATCCCACCTCTCTCCCAGTCATCAACTCATCCCACCTCTCTCCCAGTCATCAACTCATCCCACCTCTCTCCCAGTCATCAACTCATCCCACCTCTCTCCCAGTCATCAGCTCATCCCACCTCTCTTCCAGTCATCAACTCATCCCACCTCTCTCCCAGTCATCAACTCATCCCACCTCTCACCCAGTCATCAACTCATCCCACCTCTCTCCCAGTCATCAACTCATCCCACCTCTCTCCCAGTCATCAACTCATCCCACCTCTCTCCCAGTCATCAACACCTCTCTCCCAGTCATCAACTCATCCCACCTCTCTCCCAGTCATCAGCTCATCCCACCTCTCTACCAGTCATCAACTCATCCCACCTCTCTCCCAGTCATCAACTCATCCCGCCTCTCTCCCAGTTATCAGCTCATCCCACCTCTCTCCCAGTCATCAGCTCATCCCACCTCTCTCCCAGTCATCAGCTCATCCCACCTCTCTCCCAGTCATCAGCTCATCCCACCTCTCTCCCAGTCATCAGCTCATCCCACCTCTCTCCCAGTCATCAGCTCATCCCACCTCTCTCCCAGTCATCAACTCATCCCACCTCTCTCCCAGTCATCAGCTCATCCCACCTCTCTCCCAGTCATCAGCTCATCCCACCTCTCTCCCAGTCATCAGCTCATCCCACCTCTCTCCCAGTCATCAGCTCATCCCACCTCTCTCCCAGTCATCAACTCATCCCACCTCTCTCCCAGTCATCAACTCATCCCACCTCTCTCCCAGTCATCAACTCATCCCACCTCTCTCCCAGTCATCAGCTCATCCCACCTCTCTCCCAGTCATCAACTCATCCCACCTCTCTCCCAGTCATCAACTCATCCCACCTCTCTCTCTCTCATCAGCTCATCTCAACCCCTCCTCCCACATCAACTCACCCCTCTTAGCAAATCAGCTCATCTCACCTCATTGAACTCCTTCTCACCATAAAGTACGTCCTCGAAGCACCATCCGAACCGAACACCACCCCTCCAGCAGCCACTTCAAACGCGCTGTAACTGGTGGAGCGTTGAGAGTCCACGTCACCATGCAGACTGGCCGCAGCAGAGGCACCGAGGGAAGGCGCCAACACAGCAGCACCGCAGAGAACCGCTCTCACAGAAACACCATGAGCAAGGGACCTAGCAGCAGGGAGGCATCTCGCAGCACCTTCCATTCGTGGCACCATGATAGAAACAGAAACGGCCATGGCCCTTGCGGTCCAGGCAGACAAGGCAAGCAAGGCAGCCAAGGCAAGCAAGGCAGCCAAGGCAAGCAAGGCAGCCAAGGCAAGCAAGGCAGCCAAGGCAAGCAAGGCAGCCAAGGCAGCCAAGGCAAGCAAGGCAGCCAAGGCAAGCAAGGCAGCCAAGGCAGCCAAGGCAGACAAGGCAGACAAGGCAGACAAGGCAGACAAGGCAGACAAGGCAAGCAAGGCAGCCAAGGCAGACAAGGCAAGCAAGGCAGCCAAGGCAGCCAAGGCAGACAAGGCAGACAAGGCAGACAAGGCAGACAAGGCAAGCAAGGCAGCCAAGGCAGACAAGGCAAGCAGGGCAGCCAAGGCAGACAAGGCAAGCAAGGCAGCCAAGGCAGACAAGGCAAGCAAGGCAGACAAGGCAGACAAGGCAAGCAAGGCAGCCAAGGCAGACAAGGCAAGCAAGGCAGCCAAGGCAGACAAGGCAAGCAAGGCAGGCAAGGCATACAAGGCAAGCAAGGCAGCCAAGGCAGACAAGGCAAGCAAGGCAGCCAAGGCAGACAAGGCAGCCAAGGCAGGCAAGGCAGTGTTTCTGTGCCAACCCCGCCACCCTACGGCCGCATCAGCTGCCGTAGTTGATGAGTTTATCGGAGCGCCTCCTACGGTCACGTTTCTTGCAGGCACGTCCGACAATGTGAAGTGACCCTGTGGCCAAAGCGGATGTCGCAGGGAGGCTCCACGAGGCAGGGATGCGATCTCGAGCTCTCAAAAAGCTTTCATTCAATCTGTCGTTCGGCAGAGCCTTAGCGAATTTCTCCGTCGAGGTTTAGAAGCTGGAAGGCAGAAACTGGAGACTAGGAACTCGAATGGAGGAGACGCTGGGGATACCAACGACAAATCACCTCTGGAGTAGCACCCCCCATGGTTCAGGCTCCCGTCTTTCTCGGTTCGGCTGTGAAAGACGAAGCGGAGACGCCAGCGTCGCACTGTGCGTCGCATTCAGCGTCGCGTACGTCGGACAATAGATGAGTACAACCGGCGCGGGGAGAGTAGTAAACGCGGCACGGCGTTCACTCCGCAGTCCCGCGCCGCGCCCGTTGACGAAAGCGGGGCCTCGTCCCGTCAGCCGCTCCATACATGCGTACTGTCCGAGGCCTCGAGAGCGCTCACGATATCTCACACGACAAGCTGAAGATGACAAAAGCTTCATGCGCACGAAGGGCGCACCGCGAACTCGATATCGCGACATGCGAGATGTAACCGTATGCCGACAAGTGTAGGAATAAAGATGGCGAAGACCAGGGCGTGAGGATCGCATGAAATGCGTAGCGTGCTCACTATGTGGATCCCTGCATGCATAATAGATTCTCGTTTAGGGCGCGTTTGTTATTATGAAAGTCAGTGAAAATGTATATAATCATTTTTAGGTTTCCCAACAGACGCGGAAGTTGGTCAGTAGTATAATGGTCAGTATCTCCGCCTGTCACGCGGAAGATGGATCGCCGGTATCGGCATTTTTCATCGAAGTTTTAGGCACAGCGCGGCGTGATGTCCAGATTGTAGCTAGGAGCTATCATTTGACCGACCACCCTGCAAATTCACGCAAGAGTTGCACATTCAATCAAGAATCTCTGTTGAATTCATGCACAGCACCACAATTATGCTATATACATCAATGTGACAGAGAAGAGTTTCCCCAACATCCTCCTTACATACGTACACTTAGTTTTTTTTCTCATTTCCTGTACGGTACTCGCGCATTTTGGCATCACAATACTCCAGTCATTTGCTATCGCAGAACGAAAGGACCTAACCGTGTAACACGCAGGACTATACCAAACACTGGCATGCCCCAAACATATGAAATGGTGACCACAGATATCTGTGGCTGGCACTAGAAGAAAAACATACAGATACAGCCGAGAGATACAGAATTTACATTCTTCTGGAAACAGTGTCCGGGCCTCTTGCATCCAAGTGTAGACCGGTGGAGCTCAACTCACGAATGGCCTGCAGAGAGAGGAAGAAAACACTCGAATGAGTGCAAGAAGCACTTACGAAACTCCGTGCAAGAAACACAACAGTAAGAGATGGCTCTACAAGGGGACTGCCTGAGAGCTCCCTGGTGGAACTCAGCTCACGAATGGCCTGCAGAGAGAGGAAGCAAACACAAAAAAAGAAACTCAAATAACAGATGGCTCTGTCTGTGGGAATCCAAAACAGCAGATTGCACTCGGGTGAAGCGAGCTGACTTTTGAGTCGACGCAGAAGACGTGTCAGTAACGGTCAGGTGGGCTGCGGAGGCCTTGTTGTTTTAGGACAATGAAAAGTGAGAGGAGGAAGGAGAGCCTGGTTGAGGAAGCGAGCTGACAGTTGAGTCGACTCAAAAGACATGATCACACGGGTGATGGGATGGCAAACGCTACTCCCTCACATGGTTGATGGGGATTGCGAACGCCACTCCTTCAGCATCCGACCAGAGTTTTGAGTCGACTCTAAAGTCACACAGTGAGAAATGCAATGTGAAGCGACTCACATGGTTGATGGGAATAGCGAATGCCACTCCCTCAGCATCTGACCGGATGGCTGTTGTGATGCCAATCACCTGCACCCACCAATCAGATCGTGCCATGTCAGCAGCGAGCTAAGCAAAGCACGAAAAAAACGAGTGCATCCATACTCCTCTAACTCTGTTCATAAGGGGACTGCTTGAGCTCCCGGAGTTGATGGGAGGGCAAGCAAGCAGGAGGTGACATACAGGGGAAGCATGTTAACACAGCAACACACACCTCAGCAGAGGATTGAGAGTGCAGCACACACCCACCTCTCCAAACTCGTTCACGAGGGGACTGCCTGAGCTGCCCGGGTTGATGGGAGAGCAGGCAAGCAGCATATGGCACATACGGGAAGCAGGTTAACACAGCAGCACGCACCTCCCCAAACTCGTTCACGAGGGGACTGCCTGAGCTGCCCGGGTTGATGGCACAGTGAGTTTGAAAGAAATGGAGGGACGAGTGCAGCAATCCCACCTGAAGGGAGGGGGGACGGGGGCGAGAGAAAGAGGGAACATGAGGGAGTGGGAGAGAGAAAGAGGGAACATGAGGGAGTGGGAGAGAAAGAGGGAACATGAGGGAGTGGGAGAGAGAAAGAGAGAACATGTGTGAAAGAACGAGGAATGATTGCATTGAGCAGCATGAGGAGTACAAGTAGGAAACCCTAAAGTATAGCATATAAGTTTGACACACCCCCATAGGCAAAGTGGGGGAGAACAAGGGGTCACAAGACCAGTCAAGAGGAACAAGGCAAGCTCAGGGTGGATCACAACGTCACCACACAATCTAAGCACAAGCACAAGGCCACAAGGCCAGTTCACATGCAGAGTTATAGATCAAGATGAGCAAACAAGGCAGTGATCTCAACCTAGCAAAGGTAAGCATGCAAGTGCAGGTACATATAGATCACAGTACAAGCAAAGTCAAGAAGTGAGCAAGTGAGGCCAAGTAGGCACAAGACCTACCATCGTACAAAAGCGCTGATGATCACAAGGCGGAAGTGCCTTGGTAAAGATATCAGCAGTGTTGGCCTTAGAGGCCACGTAAGCAAGGCGCAGCAGACCGCGCTGCTGCAGCTCACGAACAAGGAAGTAGCGAAGAGCAATGTGCTTCGTTATGTGCTCCAATCTGTGCTCCCGACACAAGGCCAGCATGGTCTTGTTGTCTACGGCCAACTGGAGGAGAACGGGGCAACTCTCCTAGGTCAGTCAGCAGGTAGGTGAGCCAGCGTAGCTCCTGTGCAGCCATGGCCCCCGCGTAGATCTCAGCCTCACAGCTGGAGCCGAGAACAGAAGACGAGCGGGTAGAACGCCACGAAATAGAGCCGGAGCCAAGGCTGAAGATGTAACCCTGTGACGACCGCTGCGTAGCCTGGTCGTCAGCCCAAGAAGCGTCTGCGTGACCTATGAGGACCACTGGACGTCGCTCTCCAAGCACTAGCCCCATGCTCGACGTACGACACAAGTAGCGCAACACCCACTTCGCTGCAGCCATGTGCTCTGGTCAGTGTCTCCTAGGAGCAACATAGTGTGCCAAGATGCTAAGAGGGTATGCAAGGTCAGGTCGTGTGCAGGTCATCAGGTACATGAGGTAGCCAACAAGCTCTGGGTACGGGCCACTCGGCTCTACGGCTCATTCGAAGGTAGAGCTAAGAGCGAGTGGCGAGTAGACAGAGGAGTGGCCTGAGGCGAGGAGTACGTCAAGTCGAAGCGCTGAAGGACCTGCTGCACCATGTGTGACTGATTCAGGGTAATGGTGCGTTGTGCTCTGTCCTGGGTGATCTACAAGCAAAGGTAGCTGCGCAGTTCACCCAGGTCAGTGCACGTGTGTCTCTTCTGCAGCTCGGACTTCACGTGGGCGAGTCCAGCAGTGTCAGCAGTGGCAAAGACCAAGTCGTCGACGTACACGAGGATGTAGAACGGCGGCAAAGAGGTGTCGGTGCGCAGAAACAGCGACGGGTCGGCAGTAGAAGAAGCAAACCCAAGAGCCGCAAGTGTAGTCCTCAGTGTGTCGTGCCACTCACGGGCGCCTGGCGGAGACCATAGACTGGCCGCCGGAGGCTCCACTGGGTACCAGGAGGAAACGACCCAGTGAAGCCACGAGGGCGGCGCAGCCAGATCTCCTCGTGCAGGCTGCCCTGCAAGAAAGCTGTGCTGAATTCAAGAGAGTGAAGCTCGTATTCACGCTGAGCGGCAACGTGCAGTAGCACCCGAAGAGTGGTCATCTTCGGGGTGGGAGAGAAGGTCTGGAAGAAGTCTACTCCCTCTCGCTGACTGAAGCCTCGAGCCATGTTTGCGCCTTGAAGACAGGCGGAAAACCCGGCGGCCGCTTCACCCTGAAAATCCACATGCCTTTGACGATGTTCGCCCCAGGCGGGGGAACCTCGTCGACGTAGGTGCCTGTGGACTTCCAAGAAGCCATCTGTGCGTCCACGGCTGACTGCCACTGAGAGGAGTAGGGACCCTCGATCGCCTCAACGTACGATTAAGGCGTCGGGATGTCTGGTGCATCCGGGTCTCCCTCAGGGGCAATCAGCGTGGACACGAGATGAGGCAAAGCAGCAGCAAAACACTGGAACTCCTCCTGCGTGTCCTCAAGGACGTCCGTGCTAAAAGCACACTCACCCCCGACGGACGGATGACAGACAGACTCAGACTCAGCAACAAGACTAGCAGCGTAGTCTAGACGACAGCGAGCAGCAAAGTCGACAAGCTCAGCAACTAAGGCAGACGCAGCAGTCGACTCAAAAGAAGGGGCAGTGACAACAGTAGCCAGGAGACCCATGACAATACGACTGGCAGCACGAAGAGAGTCAGACTCCGGGTCAGCTAGAGCAGGAAAAGAGGACTCTGGAGGAAACCGCAACGGGACACGCCGAGGAGCAGTGGAAGGACGCAGTGCCATCTGGTGTGTGCCGGGGACCACAGGAGGACGCGGACGCGGAGCACGACCACTAGTGCGAGCAGCACGAACAGGCGACGCAGGACGAGACGCATGCTCACGACGCTCAGCAAGACCTCCAGTAGGACCAGTGTAGGGAGAAGGAGCAGGCAAGGGGGAGGCAGGCTGTAACTGTGACCGCGTCTGGACAGGCTGTGGACACGCTAAGGGAGGAGCAAGACCAGTAGAGGGCGGGAGACCAAGAACCTGCTCAAGGAGCGGAACGAAGTACGGCCTCGGCCGCGCAGCGCCTCCAGAACCAGCACGGACAGCACCAGTACCCCAAGCGGCAGAACCAGCGCCAGCAGCACCTCCAGATCTAATAGCGCCAACTCCAACACCCTCAGAAGCACCAGCGCCAGCAGAATCACCAGCGCCAACACCCCCAGCAGCTCCAGCTCCAGCTGCTCCCGCAGCTCCAGCAGCACCAACTCCAGCAGGACCGTCAGCTCTAGTACCGCCAGCAGCGCAAGCAGTACCTCGAGCAGGACTCCCAGTCTCAGCAGCTCCTGAACCGCCAGTACGAGCACCTCTAGGACCAGCAGCAAGAGTAGTACCTCCAGCTCTAGCAGCACGGCTCCAGCACCGGGCAAACCACTCGCGTAGCTCTTGCGGAGAGAGTAGCTCCTGCCTCGACGAAGCACCGCCAAACAAGTAGACCCAGCACCCCCAGGCTCCGCACCCCCAGGCTCAGCACCCCGATGCTTCGCACCCCCAGACTCAGCACCCCCAGGCTCAGCACCCTCTGACTCAGCACCCCCAGGCTCAACACCCCCAGGCCCCGCATCCCCAGACCCGGCACCCGCAGGCTCAGCGCCCCTAGCAGCACCAGAGTCAACAGCTACCTCGACAGGCTCAACTGCGTCTACCTGAGACACACCTGACGGGGCAGGACCCTGAGGGGGGTGGGGGTCTACCGGGGGAGGACCTGGCGCAAGGAAGAGCGGCGGCGGGGGGGGGGGGGGCGCAGTGCGGTAGGGGAAGAGACGGTAGTAAGGTACCGACTCGTCAAAGGTGACGTCCTGGGAGGACAGAACACGGCGCGATGTGGGGTGGTAAAACTGCCAACCTGGCTCGTCAGGGGGGAAGCCAAAGAAGACGCAGGGAACAGCACGGGGGGACAGCTTGTCCGCAGACAAGTCGCGGACAGACGCCCGAGATCCCTAGACCCGAAACGCAGACGCATTGCCAACCTTTCCCGTCCACCGCAAGGTGGGGGAGGTCTCTGGCAAGGAGACTCGGGGCTGAAGGTTGAGCTGATGCGCTGCGTACTGAACCGCAAACGGCCACAGAAAATGGGGAGCAGCCGCATGGATCATGGACGTACGAGCGACGTCCATGACCATGCGAATGCGGCGCTCATCAATCCCATTTTGCTGTGTAGAGGCCGGAAGCGTGAAGGTCTGGCCTTGTGCACGATAGAAGGCTCCCAGACGGGCAGAGGAAAACTCCCCGCCTCTGTCAGAGTGCAGACGCAGAACAGGAAAGTCCGAGCCGAAACTCTCTCTGAGTTGGAGACGAGCTGCGCGGATCCAGTCGATCAACACCTCAGTGACGTCACCCTTGCTGCTCAAGGGGAACACCGTGGTGTAACGCGAGTAGTCGTCAACCACCAACAGGAAGTAACACTTGTGACCCTGGCCACGGACGCGGGCGGGGCCCCACACGTCCATGTGAAGAGTTTGCAGGGGAGCCTCTGTCGGAGGAAACTTGGAGGAGTGAGGAGCGGCGCGCTGCCGCCCCTCGACGTAGGGGACGCAGGTAGGGGCCGGCCCTGGAGGTAGGGGAGAGAGGGACCGGGGGAGACCAGAGACAAGGACACGTGAGGCCATGCCTCGGAGACGAGGCAGGGAGGGGTGACCAAGGCAGTGGTGCCAAAGGAGAGTCTGGTGAGACAGGAGACGACACGAGTAGGGCGCAGAATCAGGACCAAACCTGGACGCTGCAGCAAACACTTGACTCGACGCAGCTACCAGACCAGACTCAGCAACAGGAGGAGACTCAGTGGTCAGTGTGTACAGGCTCGACCCTGGCCGATGGGTGAACGTGGCCAAGTGTCGGCCCGTCTGAGCACACGTACAGTGGGTCACCCGCTGACTCGCAGGAGTGAACTGGTCAACCCCCCGATCATGTAGATCAGCTCCACTCACCAAGTTCGTAGAGAACGAGGGGAGGTAGAGACCTGACAGGGTGCCAGAGGGGGCTGCCGGACACGGTAAGATAGTGGAGAAGCTAGCAAGAACAGGACCCCCAGAGGGGTCAGCCAGGGAGACCGCAACCGGCTGACTAAGCGGCGTAAGCGTGGTGCGGTCTCGAAAGAAGGAGCGGGAAGCACCTGAGTCAAGGGTGAAGGTGTGCAAGGCCTGAGCCGACGTGGTACCTGAGAGAGCAGACTCACCAGCACCTGGAGCAGCAGCTTCACCAGCACCTAGAGCAGCAGCCTCAATGTCCGGGTCAGGCGGAACGCACAGGTAATAGTCACCCTCATCACTAGTAGACACAACATACATGTCAGCAAGAATAGCATCATAGTCAAGATCAGAGATAGCTACCCCTGCCCTAGACAACTCTCCCCAGCGAGGGATCTCAGTGGCGTCAGGGAACTAATGACGCCAAGCGTCCGTCAGGCAGCCGAAGCAGCGCTGGGTGGAGTGCGTGGCCCCGCACTGCTCACCAGCGCAGTCGCCTGTACGGAGGACGTAGGTGCAGAGACCAGTGCCCCCACCGCGCTGACGCCCAGCGTACCACTCACGAAGCTGCTGAGGGGACAAGGTCTCACGACCGCGCTGCTGCTGCTGGCGTGGACCACCACCGGAGCCACTCCTCTGCGCAGAGCCGCGACCAGCAGCACCGCTGCCTCCACTACCTCCGCCACCTCCACCACCTCCGCCGCCTCCGCTCCCTCCGCCACCACCGTCACCTCCTCCGCCTCCACTGCTGCCACCGACACCTCCGCTCCCGCCACCACTCCCACCACCACCCCCACTCCCTCCACTGCCTCCACCACCACCTCCACCGTCCCCACTAGCCCCACCAACGCCCTTGCTCCCCTTGCCCTTGCCGGTGCGGCGCTTCCTGCTAGGGGTAGACGCAGCGCCGACCGACCCGAAGCCAACGAGGTCGGCCGGAGCAGTAGAAGCAACAGAGGGCAAGAGGGGGGAGTGAGAACACCCCTCAAAGACGGGGGTGCGAGGGTCACCACGAGAGGCTCCTATAGCGACTATGCTCTTCTCTGCTGCTTGGAGGCGCTCCTCGAGGAGGTCAACAGTGAGTGTGGTGGGGCAAACTGAGAGGAAGTGGTCCCTGACTAAGCGAAGGGAATCAGGGAGCCGGGTGACTATGTAGTAGAGGGTGATGTACATAGGGGGGGGGGTTCTTGGCACAAAACTCAGCAGGAAGTGCAGCGCGGTAGCGAGTGTCACTAGTGCGAAGGTGCGTAATGAGGTCAGCGATTGTGGGAAAGGGAGCAAGGTCAGGGAACAGGTACGGTAGCATGAGGCGGCTAAGCGCAGCAGTAGCAGGGGAAGACTAGCGTGCAACTACAGCGTCATACAAGGTCTTAGCACTCTTGTACTGGCTAAAGTTTGCACGCTAAGTGGTCGGTAAGTGGCGACGCAAAGCAAGACGTACAGCAGCATCGCGCGTGGCCCATTGTGAGCGAACAGTGCTGTCAGCAGTAGCAGGCGGGGCAGGAGAGACACCAGAGGTGAGATCGAACAGGGAGAGTCCGTCTGCCCTATCGCACTGTAAGAACAGCTGGAGGTCATCGACCCAGACCTCAAAGTCAACAGCACGACCCTCGGTATCAAAGGTAAGGACACTAGGGGTAGCCATGACTGCAGTGGCCTAGCAGGGAGTGAGCTCACCAGTCCAAGGGAGTAGGGCCAGGGCGCGCCAGTAGGAACAGTAGCGGCTCAACGTCAGGGCGGCTCGGCGGCTCGGCTGCTGGGCGGCACGGCGGCTCGGCGGCTCGGCGGCTCGGATGCTCGGCGGCTCGGCGGCTCGGTTGCTGGGCGGCTCGGCGGTGGGTCGCTGGGCGGCTCGGCGGCTCGGCTGTCGGGCGCCTCGGCGGCTGGCGGCGTGGTGGCTCGGTTGCTCAGCTGCTGGGCGGCTCAGCGGTGAAGGGGGGCCGGTAGAGGCGGCGACGAGGCCGCGAAGAGGCGGCGACGGGGCCGCGAAGAGCGGCGACGGGGCCGTTAGGGGCGGCGACGGGGCCGCTAGGTGCGGCGACGGGGCCGCTAGGGGCGGCGACGGGGCCGGTAGGGTCGGCGGCGGGGCCGCTAAGGGCGGCGAGGCAGTCGCGAAGGGCTGCGACGGGGCCTCCAGGGGCGGCGACTGGGCCGCTAGGGTCGGCGACGGGGTCGCAGAGGGGCCGTAGGGGGCCTAGAGGGGGCGGCGACGGGGCCGCAAGGGGCGGTGACGGGGCCGCAAGGGGCGGCGACGGAGCCGCCAAGGGGCCGCGAGGGGCCTGGAGAGGCGGCGACGGGGCCTAGAGAGGCGGCGACGGGGCCGCGATGGGGTCGCGAGGGGCCTAGAGGGGCAGCGACGGGGCCACGAAGGGGCCGCGAGGGGCCTAGAGGGGCGGCGACAAGGCCGCTAGAGGCGGCAACGGGGCCGCAAAGGGGGCCGCAACGGGCCTAGAGGGGCGGCTACGGGGCCGTGGGGGGGCGCGAAAGGGGCCGCGAGGGGCCTGAGGAGGGCGCGACGGGCCGCTAAGGGCTAGGGGCGCGACGGGAGGGAGGGCACACGGGGCGCGACTCGGGCAGGAGGGAAGCGCGCTCCGGGCAGGAAAAAATTTCAGTGGTGGGCCCTAGGAAACGTTCCCACTAGGGAACCTGCTCTACTCTATACCATGTGAAAGAACGAGGAATGATTGCATTGAGCAGCATGAGGAGTACAAGTAGGAAACCCTAAAGTGTTGTACCCCATATGAGCTACCCCTCTACAGCCTACACAGACTATAGCATATAAGTTTGACAAAATGAGGGAGTGGGAGAGAGAAAGAGGGAACATGAGGGAGTGGGAGAGAAAGAGGGAACATGAAGGAGTGGGAGAGAGAAAGAGGGAACATGAGGGAGTGGGAGAGAGGGGAGGCAAGGAGGGAGTGGAATGAGGAAACCTTCCCAGGTTGTTGGCACTGTCTGTTTGGACGAAGTGGAGCGAGGAGTGTGGTACTCTTACTGGCCGAAGTGGAGCGAGGAGTGTGGTACTCTTACTGGCCGAAGTGGAGCGAGGAGTGTGGTACTCTTACTGGCCGAAGTGGAGTGAGGAGTGTGGTACTCTTACTGGCCGAAGTGGAGCGAGGAGTGTGGTACTCCTACCTAAGGGGAAGGGAGAGAGAGTGGGGGAGGGCGAGGGAGGAGTGGGAGAGGGAGGAATGGGAGAGGGAGGAGTGGGAGAGGGAGGGAGGAGTGGGAGAGGGAGGAATGGGAGTGGAGGGAGGAGTGGAAGAGGGAGGAATGGGAGTGGAGGGAGGAGTGGGAGAGGGAGGAGTGGGAGAGGGAGGAGTGGGAGAGGGAGGAGTGGGAGAGGTAGGAATGGGAGTGGAGGGAGGAGTGGGAGTGGAGGGAGGAATGGGAGTGGAGGGAGGAATGGGAGTGGAGGGAGGAATGGGAGTGGAGGGAGGAATGGGAGTGGAGGGAGGAGTGGGAGTGGAGGGAGGAATGGGAGTGGAGGGAGGATTGGGAGTGGAGGGAGGAATGGGAGTGGAGGGAGGAGTGGGAGAGGAGGGAGGAGTGGGAGTGGAGGGAGGAGTGGGAGTGGAGGGAGGAGTGGGAGTGGAGGGAGGAGTGGGAGAGGGAGGAGTGGGAGAGGGAGGAGTGGGAGAGGGAGGAGTGGGAGAGGGAGGAATGGGAGTGGAGGGAGGAGTGGGAGTGGAGGGAGGAATGGGAGTGGACGGAGGAATGGGAGTGGAGGGAGGAATGGGAGTGGAGGGAGGAATGGGAGTGGAGGGAGGAGTGGGAGTGGAGGGAGGAATGGGAGTGGAGGGAGGAGTGGGAGTGGAGGGAGGAATGGGAGTGGAGGGAGGAGTGGGAGAGGAGGGAGGAGTGGGAGTGGAGGGAGGAGTGGGAGTGGAGGGAGGAGTGGGAGTGGAGGGAGGAGTGGGAGTGGAGGGAGGAGTGGGAGTGGAGGGAGGAGTGCAGCACGGATTGATGGCTTGGTCGGTTTGGACGAATCGCAGACACTCCCACCTGGTAGAAGGGGAGGGGGAGAGGGCGGAGGGGAGGGGGAGAGGGGGGGAGGGGGAGGGAGGGAGAGAGGGAGCGGGAGAGGGAGAGAGGGAGCGGGGGAAGGAGAGGGGGAGAGGGGGAGGGAGAGAGGGAGCGGGAAAGGGAGAGAGGGAGCGGGAGAGGGAGAGAGGGAGCGGGAGAGGGAGAGAGGGATATTGCAATAGATAGAGCACCCATGCCCGGCTGCGGATGACACCCAGGCTGCGGATGATGCCCAGGCTGCGGATGACACCCAGGCTGCGGATGACGCCCAGGCTGCGGATGACGCCCAGGCTGCTAATGAGACCCAGGCTGCGGATGACGCCCAGGCTGATGCTTACCCTCCCATGTAGGTCTGCTTTACCCATCCCCCCCCTTCCCCCATCAACCATAGTCCCACCTGATCTCCGGTGCGGTGCAGGCTGCTGATCACGCCCAGGCTGATGCTGCCCCCGTGTTAACCCATGTAGACCAAGAAGACAAATCCAAACAGGCCATCCCCTCCCTCGCCTCCTCCCTCCCTCACCTGAGCAGCAGTGCGGTGCAGGCTGCTGATCACGCCCAGGCTGATGCTGCCAGGAAGCCCCACGGGATTGCCCACCGAGATCACCCAATCAGCAAGCTCCACGTCATCACTGTCGCCAATGGGCGCACAGGGCAGCCAGTCCTCTTCTTCCCTGCTGCCCGTGCCCCCATCTCTTCCATCCCTCTGTCCTCCTCTCCCCCCTCCATCCCTCTGTCCTCCTCTCCCCCCTCCATCCCTCTATCCTCCTCTCCCCCCTCCACCCCTCTATCCTCCTCTCCCCCCTCCACCCATCTGACGTGCTCTCTCTCCTCCACGCTCTTCCAGCTCTCTTCTCTCACGTCCCCCAATATGCCTGCACGTCCCCCAATATGCCTGCATGTCCCCCAATATGCCTGCTACGGCAGGGTTCCCAACGCATCCCCCATCAAAAATGGAATTCCCATGTGCATCGCTGAAGCCCACTGCCCTGCACCCATCCGCAGGAGTCGTTACTCCAACTGACCCAGCACTGTCTGCTGCAGTCTTGCTTTTGAGACGTCTCAAATGCTCCAACTAACCCAGCACTGTCTGCTGCAGTCTTGCTTTTGAGACGTCTCAAATGCTCCAACTGACCCAGCACTGTCTGCTGCAGTCTTGCTTTTGAGACGTCTCAAATGCTCCAACTGACCCAGCACTGTCAGCTGCAGTCTTGCTTTTGAGACGTCTCAAATGCTCCAACTGACCTAGCACTGTCAGCTGCAGTCTTGCTTTTGAGACGTCTCAAATGCTCCAACTGACCCAGCACTGTCTGCTGCAGTCTTGCTTTTGAGACGTCTCAAATGCTCCAAGTGACCTAGCACTGTCTGCTGCAGTCTTGCTTTTGAGACGTCTCAAATGCTCCAACTGACCCCGCACTGTCTGCTGCAGTCTTGCTTTTGAGACGTCTCAAATGCTCCAACTGGCCCAGCACTGTCTGCTGCAGTCTTGCTTTTGAGACGTCTCAAATGCTCCAACTGACCCAGCACTGTCTGCTGCAGTCTTGCTTTTGAGACGTCTCAAACGCTCCAGCTGACCCAGCACTGTCTGCTGCAGTCTTGCTTTTGAGACGTCTCAAATGCTCCAACTGGCTCAGCACTGTCTGCTGCAGTCTTGTCTTCCCCATTTGTTACTCTTACCACCGACTCCCCCTTGTCTCCTGCTACAGCCGCCCTCCCCTTCACTCCTGCTACAATCGGCTCTTCAGCCCCGTGCAGGCTGGAAAGAGGGCCGGCACATGGCCCTCTGGTGTGCAGCCTGTGATTCACCTACTGGGCAGCAGCGGGTGGAAAGGGCAAACATGAGAAGGAACGCGTGAGTTGAAAGAAGCATTTCTGCTGCAGAGCAGCCTTCCCCTTTCATTCCTGCTACAGCCGGCTCTGCAACCCCGTGCAGGCTGGAAAGAGGCCCTCTGTTATACACCCTGTGAGTCAACTGCTGGCCGGCAGCGGGTGGAAAAGGGCAAGCAAGAGATGGAGTGCGTTAGTTGAGAGAAACATGTCTGCTACAGAGCAACCTCTCCCCCTTTTGGTCAACAGCCTGTGAGCCACCTACTAGCCAAAAGTAGATAGACACAATACAACAGGCAAACAAGAACGAAGGAACTTATAAAAAGTTTTAAGTGTGAGCCTCTGATGGAGGAAGCATGGGTGTGATTAGTCATGGTAGAGAGTAGGAGGTCACGAGACTGTTCCCGCTGAAAAAATGTCGTGTGCCATTGTAACAGGTGACTTTTGAGTCAACTCCAAAGTCATTTCTCATGGCGGAAGCATGTGTCGGATAAGTCATGCTAGAGTAAGTGGCCATACGAGGTTCCCGCTTTTTAAGTGAGGCACTGATGAAAATGCTTGAAGCAGGAGCCTCAACAGAGCCTCATACAGCGGTGGTAAAGAAAAAGGAACCTCTCACCACGGAAGCGTGAGTGGGGAATTCAAGGAAAGCAACAACCACTGGTAGACTTGCATGCGCTACTGCTAACGCTGGCAGCAGTTCCTTTAGTGCTAACTAACGGAATATCTCAGGGTCAACAGACAAATGCAGCGATACACTACCTTGACCTGGCAGCAGCACTACCTTAAGCATTGCGAGGTCTACAGAGGGGGTGCAGTACGGTTGACTCAATGGCAAAGCAGCGACCATCGGAAAGAAGCAGCTGATGGGATGGGGGGAAGACATGGGAGGGATGGAGGGGAGGGTAGGGACGAGAAGGAAAGATGGGGGGGGGGGGGGGGGGGGGGGGAAGGGCGGGTGAGGGGAAAATGGAGCACTGGCAGATGAGCAGAGGGATGCAGTGCCCATGAGTTGGTTCTAAGACGTCTCAAAACACCAATGGAGCCCTGTCAAACTTATATGCTATAGTCTATATAGGCTGTAGTGGGGTAGCTCATATGGGGTACAACACTTTAGGGTTTCCTACTTGTACTCCTCATGCTGCTCAATGCAACCATTCCTTGTGCTTTCACATGGTATAGAGTAGGTTCCCTAGTGGGAACGTTTCCTCGGGCCCACCACTGAAAATCGAGTTTTTTTTTTCCTATCCGGAGCGCGCTTCCCTCCTGCCTGAGTCGCGCCCCGTGTGCCCTCCCTCCCGTCGCGTCCCTAGCCCTTAGCGGCCCGTCGCGCCCTCCTCAGGCCCCTCGCGGCCCCTCACGGCCCCTCTCACGGCCCCGTCGTCGCCGCTCTAGGCCCCGTCGCCGCCCCTCTAGGCCCGTCGCGGCCCCCTTCGCGGCCCCGTTGCTGCCCCTAGCGGCCCCGTCGCTGCCTCTAGGCCCCTCGCAGCCCCTTCGCGGCCCCGTCGCCGCCCCTCTAGGCCCCTCGCGGCCCCTTCGCAGCCTCGTCGCCGCCTCTCTAGGCCTCGTCGCCGCCCCTCCAGGCCCATCGCGGTCGCTTCGCGGCCCCGTCGCCGCCCCTTGCGGCCTTGTCGCCACCCCCTCCAGGCCCCTTACGGCCCCTCTGCGACCCCGTCGCCACCCCTAGCGGGGGATGTGATGATGGGGGAATGAGATGATGGGGGGATGAGATGATGGGGGGATGAGATGATGGGGGGATGAGATGATGGGATGGGGAAACGAGGGAATGGGGATGAGGAGTAGGATGGCATGGCGGAATGGGGTGGGGCAGAATGGGGTGAGGCGGGAGGCATGGAGAGTGGAAGGACGGACAGGAGAAGGCAAATAATAGGAAGAGGAGGAAGACGGGACGGCTTCTTGCCCCCCCTCCCCCACTCCCCTGCCCCCCTCCCCAACTCCCCTGCCCCGCCTCCCCCACTCCCCCCTCCCTCACTCCCCTGCCACGCCTCCCCCGCTCCCTTGCCCCACCCCCTCGCCCCCTTGTGCACAGCGCTCCTCACTGCCCGCCTGCACGAGCTTCCCCGGCTGTGAGCGGGGTTGGTGCGAGAGTGAGGAGGAGGTTGCTAAGCTTGCTGTGCTGCCATTGGGTTGTGAGTGACACAGCGTGAGGGGCAGGGTGAGTGGTGAATGTAGAATAGGGGGAGAGAGAGAGGCGACGTGTGACGAAGAGGGTGAACGTGATAGGCAGGGAAGTGATGACGACGGCGGAGTGTAGGGGAGGGTGGGAGGAAGCGAGGGCGACGGTGGGAGGAAGCGAGGGCGACAGTGTGAGGAAGCGAGGGCGACGGTGGGAGGAAGCGAGGGCGACGGTGTGAGGAAGCGAGGGCGACGGTGGGAGGAAGCGAAAGCGACGGTTGGAGGAAGCGAAGGCGACGGTGGGAGGAAGCAAGGGCGACGGTGGGAGGAAGCGAAAGCGACGGTTGGAGGAAGCGAAGGCGACGGTGGGAGGAAGCAAGGGCGACGGTGGGAGGAAGCGAGGGCGACGGTGGGAGGAAGCGAAAGCGGCGGGAGGGGGAGCGTGGTCAACGACGGAGTATAGTGTGAGCGACAGCGGGAGGAAGCGAGGGCGACGGTGGGGGGAAGCGTGGGGGACGGCGACGGCGACGAGGGGAAGCGTGGGTGGCAGGGTGTGACGTCGACTAGGAAGCGCGGGAGGGGAATGTAGCTCAGGCAAACATAGGGCTGAATTTAGTATCAAGTTTTAAATAACGGGGAAACAAATGCAGGATTGAATGAATGAGTCCGAAAGACTGATAACGAGTTTCCTCTTCTAAACGAGTGCGCATCGGAATGTATTTGGACGGTCCGGCAGCCAATAGAAACAAAGTTAAAACAAATCGTCACGCGCCAGGTGTCCTGTGCGTGATCGCTCAAATTTCCCGAACCAACTCGGAGGGCTTGGGAGAAATTATCTGCACCAGTCGATCTCTACTTGTCAGATGTATCGGAAACCAATCGCAATTCGCGGGAAAACGCCAGGAGTCGAAAACCACTCGGCAACAACTCGTTCCCAACAAGTTTCCCACACCCCCCAAATTGGCGATGTCATTCACTTGATCGATTAGCTCCTTGGCAATTGTAGAGCTGCTACGTCCTCCTTTGAGACAGGAATCCGACACACACCCCACTTCCAAGGTAAGCCCTGCCACCAAAATCCAGTAGGGAAACGGCGACTCGGTTCAAGGTCGTGTTGGCCGCATCATGCCAAGCATTCTCTCACGCTTTGCGCCAAGGCGTGAGAGCATGGCGAATGAACGCCCTGATCCAGCGCGCTCTCACGCTTTGCGCCAAGGCGTGAGAGCATGGCGAATGAACCCCCTGATCCAGCGCGCTCTCACGCTTGGCGCCAAGGCGTGAGAGCATGGCGAATGAACGCCCTGATCCAGCGCGCTCTCACCTGTTTCTCTCCCCCTGTTTCTCAGATCCGTTGTCTCACCTTCTTCCCAGGAGCAGGTCGGGCTGTGAATGCTTGCATTCACACGTGTTTCTCTCCCCCTTTGTCTCAGATCCGTTGTCTCACCTTCTTCCCAGCAGCAGGTCGGGCTGTGAATGCTTGCATTCACACGTGTTTCTCTCCCCCTGTGTCTCAGATCCGTTGTCACACCTTACTAGTACTACTAGTAGCCGCCTGCTCGAGGTTTTAAGAGATTGACGAGTCAAGGGTTCTCAAGGCGTCCGGCGCCAAGCCGCTATTTCCCCCGGCTGCCTGCGATGAAGCACCAGCGATGCCACCAGCTTTCTGCCTTGAAGGTGGCGCTCCCCGCCGCGCTCTCCCCAGCGCTCGCCATGGCGCTCTGGCTTGTCGCCTTCAACGTCTCGTCGTGCCACGCGCAAGTGATAAATGCTTCTCAAGGTAGTAATACTAGTACCGCCCACCGTCCCACCCACCCTCCTCCACCCTGTGACAGTACTAATGGCTCAGCGATACCCGACTAGGGAGGCAATTGAAGTACTGTTACCTCTCCCTCCATTCCTCCCCTCCTAAGGGAGTACTCACGTGGCTCCCTCCCTCCTCCCTCCCAAATTCCCTCCAACCCTCCTCCCTTCCTCTCCCACTCCCTCCCTCCCTCCTCCCTCCCTCCTCCACTTCCTCCTTCCCACCCCCTCCTTCCCCCACTCCCTCCCTCCCCTCCCCCCCTCCCTCCCCCACTCCCTCTCTCCCCCACTCCCTCTCTCCCCCACTCCCTCCCTCCCTCCTCCCTCCCTCCCACACTCCCTCCCTCTCCCACTCTCTCCCCCCCCCCCCCCCCCTCACCCACTCCCTCCCTCCCTCCTCCCTCCCTCTCCCACTCCCTCCCTCCCTCCCTCCTACTCCCTCCCTTCCCCCTCCCTCCCCCACTCCCTCCCTCCTTCCTCCCCCCCTTCCCAACTCCCTCCTCTCCCCTTTCCTTCCGACGCCCGCCTCGCAGCTTATGCACGCATGCTATTCATGAGTGCTCATGTCACTCGTTTCCTTCCGCGACTTTTCTTATGCCCTCTCCTCGCCCCAACACGTCAGGGTTGTTTCTCAGCGACGTCAAGACGGGATGGGGCATGGGGTGGAAGGTGGGAGACAAATGCAGCACTGCGGCATCTATCCTGTGCGACGCTTCAGGCATGATCACCTCGATGTGAGTGCACGCGTTAATATCTTGGATGGAAAGGTGCGTCTTCCATGACACACACACCATCTGCTGCCTGCCGCAGATGCTTCCCTCAGCTCCGAACCCGACCTCTCCCACCTCTCTCTCCCTCCGTGATCTACTTCTCCCATTACAGCCGCTTCCATTGCTCCAGGTTCCTCCCCCGATGCTATTAATTCCCCACGCCAGACATCGCTGTCGGCACTCCTCCACTGCCCATGCAATCTGCATGCCCACTCCTCCCCCCTTCTTCTGTCTGCAATTTTGCCACTCCTCGATCGTCTCTGCTGCTCCAACCTTGTGGTCTCTCTTCATTGAGTTCACGTGTGCCTTGCTTAGTAGAACTCACAGTTGCAACTAC